CAAAAGAATAACATTTGAATTGATTGTTATGTTTAAGCAATAATTCATTTGCTTTGAGACACAGTCAGGCATTGACTGAAAGACAAATAGATAGACAGAAATTGAGAGTATATAATGAAAGGAGAATCATGAATGTGTGTATGTGTATGTGTATGTGTATGTGTATGTGTATGTGTATGTGTATGTGTATGTGTATGTGTATGTGTATGTGTATGTGTATGTGTATGTGTATGTGTATGTGTATGTGTATGTGTATGTGTATGTGTATGTGTATGTGTATGTGTATGTGTATGTGTATGTGTAAGACAAAAAGAGAGATAAATGAATTATCATTTTTACGATTGTTTGCATCAATTTATTATAAATAATGACATTAATTGCATAATGATTTTAATAATACTAATATAAATAAATTACAATAAACCTCTAAAACACTGCACTATTTACACAGTATAATATTTTGATCTTTACTATTATATTATGATATTAAGTGATGTAAAAATAATATTGATTTTAATATATCACTATATTTATGTCAATTAATATACTATTGATATTAAAGATTTTTAGCATTTTTAAAAATTAAATCTTACTTAATGGTATTTTATTTCTATATACTTTAAATGAATTAATTTAATAATATTTTTTAATTAATTCGATAATAATCACAATTAATATGTATATATACTGTATTAAAACTACAGTATTAAAATATAAAGTATACTACAGAATTAAAATGTATAGTAATAATTTTTAACATTATTTTTTGGTATAATATATAGTTATAAATATCAATAAAAATACGGTATTTTGTTTATAATTATTTATCGTATAATAAAATATTCATTAATTATTTTAACTATACATAAAGCAAAAATAATAGTCGCTTATAATCTATGTTTATATTTGGTAGTGATTTTTATTTAGCTTTCATTTACAGTTAACAATATACAGTATATGGATGTATGTGTGTGTTATCAACTAATAGCGATTTACCAAACAGTGCGGTCTTTCATTATTTGCTTTATTTTTTGTCATTGTTTCCCGTTTTTATGAGATAAGCGTTTTTCTCTTTATTTGTTCCCACATTTGATAATAATTTGTAATTCACCGCATGTTTGATATATTGTTATATTTTGATGTCAGCCTTTTTTCTCTCTTTGGGCACAGAGTATGGACCCATACTTTATACAAGAATTAGTCGATATGTATGATAAATGGTTAATATAACAACTATTAACAGAACTTAATTAATTAGTATAATATTATTTAATTTTAAAATTTATTTTTATTAATTTGTATTTTTGTATCAATTATATAATATTTTGTCATCATTTAGCCAAAAAAAATGGTCATACAATTTGTTTAAGACATTACAATCAAATAATTTATGCAAAATATTAATATATGCATACACTATATATTGATATATTAATACAGTAAATAGATTATACTGTGTATAATATATCATAGATCTGTATTAATGCATAAACATTAAATTTTTCATAAATTAAAAAAATAACTAATGAGAATTTTTAATTAATATTGCAAATAGACATTAGTATGAAATATATTCAATACTAGACATTATTTAAAATAAACATAATTTATATCTATTTAATTTTTTTATAAAAATTATAAAAATTATAAATAATATTTAATAATACAATTAATTTTAAATAATACAATTAATTTAAATAATAAAAATTATTTAAACAAAATTAATAACAAAGATTTAATTTATGAAACAACAATAAATTTATGAAAATTAAATAATAAATAAAATATATAATTTTTATTAAATAAAATAAATAAAATATTTACTTATTATACCATTAAATTATACCTTTAAAATTTAAATATCTAAAAAGTAAAAAAACTTAGTAGTAATAATTGAAATATAGTTTATTTATATTTTATAAATAAAACATTAGAGATATACAGTATATTGTTTTTTAAGTTTTAAATGGATACAAATAAAATTAATACACTAGAATATTGCAAAAAGCAATAAAATTGCAAAATATTTTAGTAAAAATTTATAAATCATTCAACTTTAATATTACCACAAAATTTATATAACCATTCATATATATGGAGAATATATAATAGGTCTAGGGTTGGGTTGTTTGGGTGTTTATCAATCATAATTTAATGATTTTAAAAACAAGTTATATTTGCTTTTAAGAGCCCAACCCCTAACCCCTGCTATATCTGATTCAAGAGTATGTCATATATTATGAGCCAAACTTCCCATCTAATAATTCTTATGGGATTTAAAGATATTCAGTAAAACCACATATTTATATGACTTGTATATAAAACTTATATTTTGATCAAAATATAAATCAAACAATAAATTATATGTTGTATAGTAATAATTGAACGGTTGGACCGATAGGAATCATATGAGAGATCGTATATAATATTTATGGTCAGAATATATATACTAGTATTGGTTGGCAATCAAAAATATCTCCATTTCCTGTCTGACCAATACTTTTAATTCATTATTTCAATTGATAAGTCAAACTTTTTTTATAGTAATATTATTAACAAAATGTTTATATTTATAGTCTTTAATAAAAATTGCCATTAATTTATATAATTAAGGATATTATTACTAATAAATATTTAGTAAATGTCTAAATAAGTTGCTTAAAATCAGTTATCACAATCAATATAAATATGTTTAGACGCACTAGTGTTTGCCGTCTAGTGACAAGTGACCTAAAAGTTTATTCATTAGAATTAATAAATTTTAGGTATATATTATGTTTAAAAGTTTTTAAATAAAATATATGTTAATTGCTATTTTGATTTATAATAATAATAATAATGAAAATAGTAAAACAAAAATATGCAATAACTAAATATAGTATTTAACATTCTGTATATGAAACTTGTCATTAAACGTCATAACTTGAAGCATATTATCCAAAATCACAGAATTATAAAATAATGAATGCTTTGACATTAAATCAGATATTATTAGTATTTGAAGTGATATTCATTTGACTTTAGTTGACAATCAGTTGAAGACTTTATTTTTCCATTGAAAAACTCATCAGAAAATGCAATATTGAATGTTAAACACAATGAACAACATTGGGGTCAATCAAGAGCTGAAGTAATGCACCAGAAATTGGCATTTATTTGGACCTATTATTGACACTAAAGTCTGTCAATCCTTCTGTCTGTCAATAATAAGAGCATTGCTTTTGTTGACCGACCGCTCACTTGAGCTTCAAATTAAATATAATTTTTTTCTTATTAAACTATTATTTGTAATCACATTAAATATTTGTATAACTGTGCAAATTTAATAAATATATTTTAAAAATATCGGAAAATATCTCAACTTTTATATATTTAAGAAAATTTATTAAATTAAACTTATTTATAGTATTACTTTTATTTGATATTTGTTTGATGTTATTAATACTAATATTTATTTAATAGTACAATAAAAAGTGATTATTTATATTTTCAAATATAATATAAAATTATTTCAAAAAAAATAATTTAACATAAACATCAAAATAAGAGTTAAGCTTAAAGAATAAAAATTTTCAAATAATTGAACAATTTTTAAAATAAATTAAATAAAAAATAAAATGTTTGCAAAAATTCGTGAATATTCTTATATCATAATAAGTAATTATAATTCTTTACATTTAATTAGATGTAATTATTGAGCAAATAATAGTTTGTTGTATGCGATCGCATGTTAATGTAATGGCTTATCATTTGCAGAAAAAGGCAAACTTTGCAAACATAACATATCTGTCCAACTAATGGCTTATTCTGTAAATGGTTTGATATCGTATATGTATTATATGTTATATCAATGTTTGAAACGTTACATAAATGTATGATGTAGATCATAAATGTAGAAAAACTGTTAATAGATTAAAAAGGTTTGATAAAAACTTTTTTGATTACAATGTAAATTTATTTAACAATTTACCACAAAATATTAGGGATGAAACAAATTATAACAAAATAATTAATTTACTTAATTGTTATTTTAAATAAATATGTAATTTTAAAATAATTTTAACATATTTTATTGTCAAATATTATTGTATATTATTATGAGAATATTGTATTTCATAACAAGTATGTGAAATAAAGATTATTATTATTATTATTATAAAACCTACACTTTTATTACAAGCGTAACCTTTTCAATGGCTGCTTCTAATCCATGGATTGTCAAAAACAAAATTTTCTTTCAAAAAAATAACTTTCAATACTTTATTTCATTATTATTACATATATATACAGTTTGTAATTGAAAAAAAGTTTGTTTTTTATATATAAAAAATTTTTAATTATAATAAAAGCCAGAAAATACAGAGTAGTACTCGTTAGTTGTAAAAGCATTATTCAATGCTTTCAGTAAAAGAAAGTCTAAGAGAGAGAGAGAGAGAGAGAGAGAGAGAGAGAGTATATACAAAATATAATATAACAGTGCATTGAATGAGAAGAGAAAGTGCTGTAAGGAATGGGATGTGTTGTACGCATGAATGTATGGGCACTGTATGGTAAATATCTGGAAAATGTATGGCAATGTATGGCACGCATCGCATCACTATTTCAAGTCATTCATTGCAATCTATTGAATGCATTCAAATGGGTCTACCATTTGCTATGTGAAAGCAAACACACATTTGCAACACTTTTGACCGCTTTCTATATTATCTCTAGTTTTTCTCTATTAATACTTTGAATGTAAATCATGACACAAACGGTTAACACATTTTTATTACCAAATCACAGCCATTCATATTCTTCAATTGATTGCATATTAAATGTTATTTATAATCAAAATCTATAATAATTTAATAAAATTTTCTATAATTTGAAAACTTTGTTAATTAAAATGTTGCTCTTTTGTCAAAAACAATTATTAAATTTATAAACAATTTTGAAATGATTTTTTGAAAAATACTTAAATGTATGAATTTATCATAATTTAAATAATGAATCACTTAATGAGTAAAACACTGCTCTTAAGTTTAATCTTCAAATCTTTACTCTATTTCATCACATTTTCTTTCATCGGTGAGTCTCTTTTGAATATTTATTTTAGCAATAGTTACTCTTTATTATATTTACTCTATATATATATAAATTGTATATTATGTATAATGCTTTTAAATATAATATAAATTATTCAAATAATTGAATACAAAAGAATAGATATGCAAACAAAGTATGATTTTTTATATCAAAGTTTAATGAGTGACGAAAATAGCATAAATAGTAAAATAGCATATTATATATATATAATCTACTCTAACATAATTGTATTGTTTGCTAAACATATTGTTTCTTAAATAGTAATATTCTTTTCTTATTTTTTAATTCATTTTTATATCAATCCATCTGTGCTTCAAATGAAAACCCAATAAATGTTTGCTAAAATAAAATAATATAAAAAATTTGCGTTTATATAGTCAGAGTATAATAACTATATATATATTTGATATATATTAGACAATATAATATGATATATGAAAATAATAGATAAGAGTTTGCAGTGAAAGAGTATTCCCACAATTCCTTTCGCTTATTAAATTCAGTTTAGTTTCACTTTATTTTTACAATATATCACATGATGTGGTTTTTCTTTACTTTAATAACTTATTTAAAGAATTTTCTCTCTATTTTTTCAATTTTTTCACTTTTCTAGTGCTTATTTTTTAAGAAAAAATAATTTATTTTGACATAAATTATACAGTATGTACAATATATATACAGTATATAACTTAAAAATGTATCATACAGTATATACATATTTTTATATTTTTAAATATATACATACGTTGTATAATGTATATATATTATGTCTATAGTTTTTTGTGTTGTAAATAAAACTCGATATTATTTTATACACAAAACTTATACATAACATGAATGGAAAAATCATTCAAAAGTGTAACTTATTGTTGCAATAAATCTATACATTTTTTTAGTAAAACACTAGTTTTTTGTTTAATGTTTATACCACACATTATTGTGTAAATTTTAGGGGCAGATTGCCATTTGTGTGTAAAATAATATGTATTCTTAAAACAATGAATAAGTATTAAGCGCCGGGAGGTATAAGAAATAAAATCTTCAATAATCACAATAAGGGAAATCATTGTTGTGTTTATATCTAATGGTTATGTCCGCCAATGACTGTTAAGGAAAAGGGTTAATGTTTCCATAATTAAGTGAAACAATAAAGGATACAAAATAATGATTTCATTGACATACAAACCATAGATATTATTGCCTGTTTGCTATCATAAAACAGACATAATAGACATATCCAACTATTTTTACTTTATTTTTTGGATAATACTAATTATAACATCAAACGCTATCTTATATAAGTTTTTTTTGTTGAAATCCAATTTGTTTATCAAACAATTGCAGTGCTATCGTCTAAATCACTTTTTTTTGCTATTTTGATAACATTAACATAAATGAACATGATCCTATATTACAACAAGTGTAAAAATTCTACTTTTTTGTATTATATAAAAATCAAGATTTTAAAACAACTAGTTTAGCAAAAAAAAATCATTTTAATAAATTCTCAATGTGTGTGAATATTTAAATAAGTTTTTTTAATACTAATGTTTCATTTATTTTTTAAAAAATTATTCAAAAAATTATTCTATTAAAATAATTGTATTAAATTGTAAACTTTGTAAAATTTATTGACTTGTTTGCATTAATATATAAATTAAAAGTGACTGGATGAAAATTTTATAATGCTTGTTATGTCAATAAAAGTTCACATCAAAAATGACAAACTAAGCAAAAAAACTGTTTGCCAATGAATTATTGTCGACTCATGTTTGCACAGATTATACAATAATTTGCAAATCCTATAAAATTGTTGATTACTTTAGAAAAATTGTATAATATTTTATAGTTAGATAATAAAATATATTTTAAGACTATATTATAGATAGTTTGATTTAAATCATTATCATATAATACAACGTAGAATATTCTGTATATAAATATTGATATATATGGTAAATATATTTGTAAATAGGAATAAATGATGAAACGATAAATGATTATTATATCAGTCGTGAGGGAAAAGGCATAACAAAAGGAAAGAGTGATTTGATTTTGAGATCGTTTGCAGACTAACATAGTATTGCATAACCATTGAATGCCACACCTTTTGAGTACATAAACCATAGGCACAACACATTTTGGCTCAATTTATATACAATGCGTTTATTATTATAAAATTATATATTGAATGCACTTACGGCTCCATTTAATCATATTCTTGATTGATAACAATGTATATAAACTTTTACTAATATTGCACTTAAAAAATATAACAGATTTTCTCTTATATACTCCATTGTATACACCGTTATATTACTATATATAACATAATCACAAACTACTATATTATCATAACTTATGATACATTTTGCTCAGTGTTTTATCTACACTATTATTACAGTCATGATTAGGGCGCGGAGTGAGTCCTTATCCATAGCTATTTTACTACAATATATTTAGTAATAAATAAAATTTGCATAAAATATTTTATATGTGTGTATATTATAATACACAAACATATTATTTTATATATTTATTACTAAATATAATCTATTTAACAATGTATTTATGTATTTAACAATGCATTTATAATTTATAATATCTCAAAGATTATATATTTCACAAATAATATTATTTTAAAATAACTTATTATTAAATGTTAAGAAATTTTTGGTATTATCGGTAACGATAAATACAATAAATTTTGATCATTATTTTAGTTAAATAACTAATCTAATAATAACTGTCAATAAATACAGTATATATTATGTAGATATGATAAGTATTTGAATTTATAAATTATTTATATGAAATGATAATAAGTTCAAATTATATCATTTTCATTTATCCTCAACTTTTTACTATTGTTTTTATTTTTATGATATTTCTATTACATGTTATTCTTAAGTAACAACAAGTCTATTATTTCTTTTTGTTGAAAAAAAACATTTTGTTTGATTAAATTTGCAATAATTTATTAATAATGCTATTAAAGATAATAAGATAAAAATAGACTAAATTGACATTAGTTTTGCAAAAATACTAATGAATAAAAATAAATATAATTTATTATAATCTAAAATATCAAATAAAATATCTAAATAAAATTACAGACATTGGATTAAAATAGTTAAATGTAGCCATAAATTGTGTTTGTGATTACAGATCATTTGCATTAGATTTGCATATATGATATGCTGGTCCTATCCATATAATCAACATATAGACAGAGCACTGGCAACTAAGCCATCACATCACGTAAACGACCCATTAATGTCATTATCATTAAGAGTCTGTATTTACTATATTCTCAATCAAAACTATTATTATAATAATAACTCATTCACTTATTTCTTAAATAAATAACAYTATAAAAGCATTTACTAAATATTGTGTAACTATTTTAATCATCGTTTATTGTTTTTATATTTTTCATTTTATAAATTAATAAAATGCTAAAAATAAAATTCTATGATTATTAAATTAAAAATAATTATTATTAATTATATTAATATTATATTTGCACTCTTTTATAACACATCTCATAATTTTTTAAATAAATAATTATTATTAATATATGAATCAAATATATTGATATGTGTGACACATGTTATTATACGTGAATTTTATTAACACTTAATGGAAAATAATAATCAATTTAAAGATACTATTAAAGTGAATATGTTGTGTGCAATATTTGTCTTATATATAAAATATAATACATATTATAGTTAATGATTTTAGTTTTCCAGTTTGGCAGTCATAAAGTTAAACTAAAATTAAGCAATTAATCAGAGATTTATTAAATATTAAAACATGTGATCCCAACGGATACATTTGGCACGCATTCAGTCAAATGAGTTTCACAAATGTGTCAAAACTCTCATAATTTTGTGGTGTTGTGTATAATGTATTGATTAGTTTATGACTGTCAGTGATGGGGAACTCACCTCAAAAATATTTAGCATTTCAATCAAATCTTAATATATGTTTGTTATGTTATTTTCAATTGCAAGTTTCAAACATTAATTGTAATTATTATAGTCTGTTGGGACTAAACTCTCTCTCTCTCTCTCTCTCTCTCTCTCTCTCTCTCTCTCTCTCTCACTCTCACTCACTCACTCACACACACACACACACACACACACACACACACACACACACACACTCACTCACTCACTCACTCACTTTCTATTGAATGAATATAATGGCATAATATAAGTTATATGTTTATATAAATAGTTGATAGAAGAAAAAATAGTCTCATATTGTGTTTAACTTTTTTGGTCAAATACTTAGACCATCCGATAATTGAAGTTTTTGGTCGACCCAACAGTTTTGTTGGCCATCACTCGGGAATTGTATTGCAAACCATAGCACTATTTCACATGACTTTTATTCTACATTTAAGCAATAAGTTTATTCAGAGCTGATATGCCGACACATTACCAATGCTATCTATTTGCACTGTTAGACTGTATATATTATGTTGTTTTAGTAATTTGTAAGAAAAACAATTGAATAGTAGTATATGTGTAGACAATATTGGAGTTGAGAAATGAAATTAGAAGAGACAGTCAGACAGTGAGACAATAGTTAGTAAGAGTGGCACCAATTTGATGGTTTTGGGGGACACCAGAAATGGTGATCACATCGAACCGGAATCTCAATCAATATTGCCTTTTCTACCGACATATATATACCGTACAATTGATTCGACACATGGGATACATTTGTGCACTACATTGCTCTGTGCAGTCTTAATATGAGATCAAATTCAATTGACTTAAGCTTTAAGACGACATCAGATGAATCATTAATAAAAGTTTTGCAAAAATATGATTTCAAACAATCATTGCTCTCTCTCTCTCCCTTTAAATCCATTAATTAAAGATTTTTTTTATTGTGAGCCCACATATATCAGTCCACACTTTCTCTTCTTTTGTTGAGCTGATATCAAACACTCTCTGAAATTAGTTAATGGTTTTAGTTTTACCCTAAAAAATAAAGTAAAGACAATTCATTTTCATTATTATAATTAGTTGCATATATAGAGATATTGTAAATAAGGATATGTATATATTATATGATTTAATTCACTCATATATTCATGAATTTATTCATTTGTTTAGTTAAGCTCTCAATGTCTCCAAAGATTAATTTTACTATAAATCAAAACAACTATTTTGAATACTATATAGGATTTAAAGTGAAAATTACAATTAATTAAAAGTAAAGTTTATTTTTAAACAAAGTTTTAGTCATTCATTTGTTTACACTGGCAAACAAAACAATAATATTTCCAATGTATAGATGACTTAAAGTCGTATAATTTAATTAAACTTTCAGTTTCAATGATATAAAACTACCTTAAAGTATATTATTTTATTATTTAAATCTCTTTAATATGTTTTAGTCGTTGCGTATAATTTAATGTTATATTGAAAATAATATTTATATGCTATGGCTGTGAAACACTATTATTACTGTATATAAACTCATATTTATGTTCTCCTAATAGCAACAAATTAAGAGTGTTGTCTGCTTTATATTATTGTTGTTATCATAACAAGTCTAAGTTATGTTAGATAATAACAAAAAGCCATAATATTTTTGACTAAATTATATAATTTCTGAAAAGCAGTCAAACTATTACTTTGTGTGTGTGTTTGCGTGTATATATAATACATATTATGTATGTATGTAAGAGAGAGAGAGAGAGAGAGAGAGAGAGAGAGAGAGAGAGAGAGAGAGAGAGAGAGAGAGAGTTAATTACTTTGAATAATAAAATTAACTATAAAGAAATACTATAACAAATAAAATGTATAAAATTTACTATTTTTTAGGTCTAAAATTATTATCATTTTATGAGTCTTCGTTCATTTAATTGTAGTTAATGTTTGACTAAATCAATATAACTGTTAGATTTAATTATAATACCAACATTTGACAATTTAATCCATAACTAGATATTAGAGATTTATGATCTTTTAGAACAATCTATAGTACAGTGTTGTAAGTGTCATATCATATAATATTATATCTAATATTTAGTTCATTTTTGCATATTTTGTGATTTTTTTCTAATTTGTAGATAATAAATAAATACTTTAATTTGTTTTATATTACAGGTATATAAAATAAAAATATTTAATAATATGTATATATATATATATATATATATAAATCTAAATTAGCTAATATTATTAGAATGAGGACAAAGAAAAAAGATTTGATTGAATAGTACAGTAATTTATATGCTATACTATAATGACAACCAACCAGATTAGGTAATGTCTCTAATTTGTGACTCTCGTGCGTTACGGGCATTACATGCTTACAAACTAATGTATAGACTTATCTCAATTGAATAGCATATCAAAGACTTTGAAGAAAATAAGAGATTTAGTATAAAATTGTTAGATATTTAATAAGATATAAATATTTGCGGTTATCAGTACCGATGAATGTCTTATCTCTATTACATTTGTATTGGTTGTGTTTTTGGTGTTATTTTATAAATGACTGCAATTTTTCTAAATTAAAGACAATTTATATATAAGAATTAGTGTTCAATACTTCGGACACAATTAATGAGAACTTTTTCTATTCTTAAAGTTGGCCATCAATTTGCCATCAATACAAACACAATGAAAACAAATTTACTGATAAGTAATAGTAGACAATTGTTGGACACAATCATCACTATATTAAATAAATGTTTTCAATTTAATTTTCAATCATAAACTCGTTGATCAAATCAATTGAAATTTTAGAGGACTAACATATAATTTGTCAAAACTGTAACATAAATCCAACAATCAAATGAATGTCAATGCAATCACTCGGATGTTTGTATTTGGACTATAAAATTGATGTTTTCCTCTATAAGGCACTAATATTGCAATGCTTTAAGAGTTTATCATCCATTCATTTATTAGAAGCTAACTATAAATAAAACCTTAGTTTATATTATATAACGGTTTCAATCAATTTCCTTAATCTTCTATAAAGATCCATATTTTGTAATAATTTTGCTAAATTAATAAATAACTTAGTTTAATATAATCTTTACTCAATTAGCATTTATTTTATTTTTAATGTCAAAAAAATTCATATTTAAATTTTGTTTAAACGTAAATTTTATATATCTATCTAAAACAAGCTAATAGTGTATAATTAAATTAAAAAATGCATGTTTATACTTTATAATATATGAACTATCAAATATATTAAATTGTTAATTTATAGTTGAAATAATACTGTAACAAAATTGACCGCTAACTATATGATAGTTGTTTTTAATTAAAATAAATACATTTTCCGAAATATAAAAATCATTTGATAAATAGATATTTTGACTGAAAATCTGTAATTTAATTATTGTATAATATTTTATAATAATATTATTATTTTTGTCAAATATAATTTGCATTGTCTAATATTATATACATATATATACACTATACTGTATATATAAATATAAAATGTCAAAAGATATTTGAATTGACAAACAACTATAGCGTGACAGTAAACTGTTATTATGTTTGCACTATATTATACAGAATTTGCAATTAGACTATACTATACTATATACAGTATATATATAGTATTACGGTATAAACTGAACTACAGTAAAACATAGACAAAATATTAGTTTCAATTTAGAGTTTTATATACATGTTTAACATTAATGTAAAAATCGGTATAACTTTGTAATGTTATATAAATTAATTAACAGTTATAAACATAAATATGTATAAATTCATTAGTTGGTGATTTGTTTTAAATAAAATAAACATTTTGCTTAAAAAATCATTGAACTGATTTATAATTGTCAATAAAATGTTTAAATATTCAGAGAGAGAGAGAGATAGAGAGATAGAGAGAGAGAGAGAGAGAGAGAGAGAGARAGAGAGAGAGAGAGAGAGAGAGAGAGAGAGAGCAATAAATTAGTATTATTTTTGTTACAATTCTATAAATTATTTATTTTATAGCCATTCAGTAGTGCCACAAGTTATATGTCATTTTGCTTATAATGCTAATCATAATGATGATGATAATTAGGGGTCGGCAAACTTTAAACATATATTCAAACACATACACACATTGAAACACGAATTTGTTTACTTTAAGCCCAATTTATTTACATTTTAGCATTCATTTTAAATAATTAATTAATTATAAATGAAATTCTGAACCAACTTTTGTATACCTAAAGTCTATATTTAAATTAAAAGAAATAATAGATTAAAGTTATTTATAATTAAATAGAAAGAAAATTAAATAATTTTAAATAATTTTATAATCAATAAAATATTAAGTTTTCAAATCTCATTGGATTCATTTTAGTTCATTTCTAATATCCATAATGAATTATATGTATATTATATAGATATTTATATGGATAAAATATATACAATATATTTAGTTTATCATATTATCCATATTTATTAATTTATATTAAGTGTTTTCGCAATAAAAGTTTATGTATTATTAAATCGATAATACATTTATTATTGCATAAAGTATGACATAAATATATTTTGAGATATACGGGCAAAACTTGAGCGATAAACACATCGGTTGTATTAATTAGACTCTAATTTAATTTCTAATCCATTCATTTATTAGTGAACTACATTTACCGCTATATATAGTATAGTATATACTTTTGTAGATTATTTGTATAATACTATACATTTCTAAACACAATCCCATAAAACTAAAAAAATTGCTTTAAAAACATTAAATTCAAAAATAATCTAAATATAGAAATAACTATTTAATTTTAAATTTATTTTGTTTGTGAAGTAAAACAAAAATTAATAATATATAATATTTGAATATATTGTGAAAATAGGCAAATGTTTGTGTCATGAAGTGAGTGTGGGATCTGGTCCTCGGTTTGTAGCGGAGCCGCCATCAAAAGTACATTTTTCTAACTCGTCGGGTGCGGTCATCGTGTGTAGTGCCACGGGTTCACTGCCCATCAAGACTTGGTGGACATTATCGGACGGATCCCCTGTCAATGATGTGCATGGCTTAAGACACATACGCATGAATGGCGAACTGGTTTTACCCCCGTTTTCAGCGAATATGTACAGACAAGACATTCACGCGACGGTTAGATTTAGTCAATCATTTAATTTACTGTCTATTAATCACAATTGTATTTTCATGTTATACGCGCCTCCTATCACTCTAACAAATACCACACCTATTTTAAATGACAATCACTTGAACACACATCAGATATACCGATGTTTGGCCAGTAATGCTATCGGAACTATTAGAAGTCGTGACTGTCAAGTGAGAGCCGGTTAGTAATAAGTCTTATATGTTATCATTTAATTTAATTATTATAACATATTATATTGAATTAGTATTTGACTAAAAATATATAATAATTTTCTAATTTACAATTTGCTTGTTTGCATGTTTGCATAATAATAAATAGTAATGTATAATAAAATATAAATACATTGTGTAAACCAAAAGTGACATATTTTGGTGAAATGTAAAAGAATTTTTCATTTATAGCAAAATATTTATCAAAAACCATTGCCGGCCCACTAATACATATAAGCTATACATTTACATTACTATATATAAAACTATTTTTGATAATGTACTGTGTTTGTGGTGTCAGTCTATGTATTGTGTATTATATAACAAAATTAATGATTATGTGGCTAACAGTATGCAGTTTGTGTGTATGTATGTGTGTGTGCGCGCTATACTACATGTACTGTATATACTGTATAGTATAAGCGTTATATAAGACACTGTAGTCACTGTTATTTGATAAACGGGTTTGAATTGCAGTATCTCTTGATGTGTTCATTGTTGCCTCATTTCATACCACAAACCTATTGTTGTTATTATTATAGTATTATTAATAATATTATAACGTTATAAAACTTCACACTAAAAGTCAGGTCAAACTTAACTAAACTTTTACTTCTAAAGTTTATATACATATTATAGTAATTTTATAGACAATCGCATCTAAATATTTGTATTACCAATGAATGCCATCATTATGTTTGACTGAGATATTAATCATATGATCGCTGCTATAACTTTCACTTTCAAACACTTTATAATTGCATTTACGCGACAACACAACACAACACCAGCTTTTATAATATTTTGTTACAAATAAATCAATTATTTTCTGAATGAATTACTCTCTGAGAGTGAGTGTGCGGGTGAGTGATAGTCAAGCAAAAGTGAAAAATTTAAATTTCAAATTGTTTTTAAAATCAATATTATCTCTAATGTTATTGACTTTATAAAATTTTTTCAGAAGTACTAAATAATTATACACTACTTATAAGAATATGTTTAGAAATCAATTTTAATTATATATATATATAGGTATAATCACATTTTTGTGAGTTTTATGATGATATTAATTTTTATAAATCAAGAATTGAATTTATTTAATATTATATAAATATTTTCGTTTAATGAAAATATATTATTGTGTGAGAAATATTTGACATTCAAATATAAATTTTTATTATAATTATAAGATATGTAATACAAAAATTCGATTAATATTTTATGACAACAAAATACATAGCAATATGTGATGTTTGTGTGTCTGTGTGTTGTCGACATTCACGCAGTGTTAGTCCAAAATCAATCACAATCTAGTTATCTAACAGTGAAATCGTAGAAAAATCTTAGAATATATATTTACAGTAATATACATTATATATAAACATTATATAATACTGATTATAATATAATAAATATTATAACAGTAAGTAAAATACTGTATAAGATTTAATAAAACGACTCAAAGTATAACATTTTTACATAAAATAAAATAATTTTGAAAGAATTACAGTTTACAGTGGTTACCAAATTAACATATACAGTAACATTAGACTGACCAACTAATTTTATACTAAAAAGACATTGATTAAAATTTTTAGGAATATTCCGGGACATATCCCATATTATATGCTATTATATGTAATTGTAATTTAGTTATTAAATATAATAAAAGTAAATGAATAAAAAAATTGTGATAATTGCATCGGTTTTACTGGACTCTAAAATACTTAGTAAAATCCGGTATTGTCCAGACCAAACCGGGAGGTTGATCACCCTATATGACACATGTATTTGAAGTTATTCATTTTATTTATATACTTTCATTTCTATACGATATTTATCTAATCTAATAAATTAATAATATAGACATATTCATAACATTTAGACACAATTCAAATCATATTTTAAAGTATTTTAATTTATTTTTTCCAATATTATTATATTCTTTCATAAAAAATAATAAATTGCAAACATTAACTTATTTATTATAAATAAAATATAATTGAACTTTAATTTATAGCATGAACATTTTAATACATGATACATTGTTATAATTTATGTTAATAAATTAATTCAATTTAATTTAATATACAGTAAATTATAAAAATAAAGATTTTAGTTAGAATAACATATTTTTTATGATAAATTATATTTATTATACACTTCTTATTATATTATATTTTAAATATAAAATAAGCTATTAATGTAATAATTTTTAAAAATTAATTTTAGATGCTATTGATAAATTAATAAATGGCCTTTAATAAGTTGTGGGCTAATGTTTTTAATTATATAAATACGGAAATCATAAAGTTTATTAAATATAATTTTTAAACAGTTATTGGTTGGTATTATATCAGATTGAATGCAGGAAATTAAGCATATGTTCAATCAGTATACATGAGCTATGGGTACCTTATTTTGCAATCATGAAAGTACTCAATCAAACATATTGTATATTAAATTACTTTACATTATATATGTATATATTGTATTAAATATATACTGTATATACATTATATACTTAAACATTATATCATCAATAAAGTTGATAAGTCTAACAGCAGAACCAATCAATTTTTTACACCAACTGTCCATTTATAACTAACTTTATTGAATAAAGTTTTCGATGTATTTATTTGAAGTTTAATTTTTAATAATGTTAGTCATTATATATTATATGAAAATCACTAATTTACTGTTTATTTTCTTATATATATAATTATTTGTTGTTTGTATAAAAATATATGTTTATAAATTTGATTAAGTATTAATATTTTATCATAATATTTTATTTAAAACAAAAACATACATTAGAATACAAATATTTAATATAAAAATTTATGGTGTAATATAAAAATTGGTTATTTCTTAAAAGTATTAAAATAACCAATATTTTATAAACACATTTATTATATTGTTTTTTTTGCATTTATTATGTTTTAAAAACACGACTGAAAATAAACAATAAAATAGTATAAAATCAAATTGGTTTTAAAATGATAATACTGTACTACAAAATTTATATATAATGGATAGGAAACATAATAATGTATTTAAAGCAATGTTTGTGTTTGAATTGACATAAATATATAGTATTTTAGTTGATGTGATCCATTGGATCGCCATATGTGTCATTCATTGATTGAATCGCTGAGTAAATGCAATTCAAATACAAATAATCGATTAGTAAAGGCTTTACTCTATCTTTTCTCCCAAACACACAGTAAATGCATTTTTTCACTTATTTTTGGCCCACATTTTGACATTCATTTGTGATTTGAACGAAAATGCATTTTATTTAAGCATCAAATATGAAGATTGCATTCACTTATGGATTATATGTATGTTTTACATTTAGTAAGGAGTGAGTGAATGTGAGTATATGTTGGTGTGTGTGTGTGTGTGTGTGTGTGTGTGTGTGTGTGTGTGTGTGTGTGTGTGTGTGTGTGTGTGTGTGTGTGTGTGTGTGTGTGTGTGTGTGTGTGTGTGTGACTTTGAATAGAAAATTTTTTAAGAGTAAACTGTAATAAAAATTTAATCTTTAAGTTGCTCTCAAATATCAACAAAAATTTTTTTTTATCATTTTAAAATATCATATATTTTTAAAATAAGAAATAGCTGAAATGTATTTAAAATCACATTTTTAATGTTATATACTGTATATTAAAAATTCAATATATTATTTGATTAGTTGTCGAATAAATATTAGATCTATATTATGATATAATGTAGTAATGGATTTTTTAAGGTTTGAAAATTAAAGCATATATTTATTTTTTTTAAATTATACTTATGTTTATGTATACTATATTTTAAAGTAGATATAAGAAAAATTGGTAAATACACTAAAAGTACATTTGAAAGCATAAATTACTTCATATGAATGGAAGTTATTAAATGTAATAAATATGTATAACTGAAGTTAGCTGTCAACCAATTTTTCTAAATATATTTTATAATTTTCAGTTACATTATTTATAATATTTTCAATAATGTCATAATTATTGTTGTATTAATAAATTTGTATTCATAGTATTGTAAAGTGATTTTTTCATTATCTAAGAAGTGGACAGTCTTTCTCACTTTTTTCACTTCTCTCTCTCTCTCTCTCTCTCTCTCTCTCTCTCTCTCTCTCTCTCTCTCTCTTCTGGTATTTAATTTGATTTATTATTGTGATTTCAATCGACGACTTGAGCCATAGTACACAATATTATATATATACCTATTATGGCATTTCTATAGTCATTTCTAACATTTTTAGTGAATTTAGTGAATAATTTTAATGCTTCACTAAACTAGAGTAAACTTGAATGAGATATACTATAGTTTGGTCACTGAATGTTACATTTTCTTGAAATTTAGAAAAAATAGATTCTATAATATTTTCTATTATATTAATTATAATAAATATATTAAAATTTTAAAATATATCATTTCAATTAATTAAAATCTTAAAATAGATTAAATTTAAAAAAAATTAAAGCTATAAGTGAGTTTTTTTTATTAAAACTTTTCTTAAATTATGTATAATAAACTCAGAATTAATATATATATATATATATATATATATATATATATGATTTGAAAAATGTTTAATATATAAAAGTAAACAAAATTATTCAGAGCAATGACTGAAAATTATACGGTTTCTTACATTTAGGTATATATTAGATATTTTACTGTAAAACTTAGATATTAGTTATGTAATGAACTTATGAGATATTCATATATTGAATATATATATACTATACCTTCATTCAATGTTTATTCAATACTTCAAATAACTACAAATTTAATAATAATAATAACGATAACAAATATATGTGATATAAGTCAAAGTTTAATTTAAAAATGTTTATTTAAATTATACGTTTTTCAATCATTTTAATATATATTTAAATTTTTGTTCATTTTAAAATTTAAATCATAACTACATAATACAACATAAAGATATTTTTAAATAATTTT